TGGTGTGGAGAAACTTGACTGGCCTGCACAGAGCCCTGACCTCAACCTGATAGAACACCTTTCAGTTGAATTAGAGCAGAGACTGCAAGCCAGGCCTTCTCGTCCCACATAAGTGCCTGACCTCACAAATGCTCTCCTGGAAGAATGATCAGAAATTCCCATAAACACACTCCTAAACCTTGTGGACAGCCTTCACAGAAGAGATGAAGCTGTTATAGCTGCAAAGGGTGGGCCAGCTCCATATTAAAGCCTATGTATTAAGAATGGAATGTCATTAAAGTTCATGTGTGTGTAAAGGCAGGTGTCCCAATACTTTTGGCAATATAGTGCACAACTGGGTTGGACATTTTGCTTTCAAAACTGCCTTAATTCTTTGTGGCTTAGATTCACCATGGTGCTTGAGTCATTCCTCAGAGACTTTGGTCCATGTTGAGTCATTCCTCAGAGACTTTGGTCCATGTTGACTTGCAAAGTTAATGGAGGGTCTGATTGGGGCTCTTGAGAGACTGAAAGAGAAATCTGAATGTCTGTGCTTATGAGTGACCTGGATAAAAACCAAGTTACAGGCCTTTAATGACCTCTCGGGCACAGCCATCAGCAGTGTGTCTGGCTGGAAAGGGGTGTGCGGTGCTCCCAATATATTTGTAAGAAGATCCAAGTCTTTAGAGTCCTGGTGCTCCCTGTCTTGCTGTATGGCTGTGAGACATGGACATTATCCAGTGAATTGAGATGAAGATTTGACTCCTTCATGACTCTGAAGAATCCTTGGGTACCACTGGATTGACTTTGTGTTGAAGGAGTGGTTGCTCAGGGATACCTGAATGAGGCACATTACCTGCATTGTGAGGGAGCGTCAGTTACGACACTACGGCCATGTGGCGCGTTTCCCTGACGGTGATCCGGCTCACGGGATCCTCATTGCAGAGGACCCGAGCGGCTGGACCAGGCCGAGAGGATGCCCACGTAACACCTGGCTGTGGGAGATAGATGCCCATTTCCAGAGGGTGAGACTGGACTGTGTATCGGCCTGGGGAGGGGGGTCACCAACTGGGATCAGGTGTTTCATCTTGTGGTGGATACGGCTACATGCTGTTCCAGTGCAAGCCCTCCAACCTGACCTGACCTACTGCTGACATATGATTGGCTGAATATATATTTGCTTCAATGAGAAGTTGAACTTAATAA